AGAAAGAGAGAGAGAGAGATAGACATACAAAGAAAGAGATAGAGATACAGAGATAGCAAGACAGAGAAAGAGAGAAAGAGAGAAAGAAAGAGAGGGAACGAGAAAGAAGAAGATAGACAACTCAAGTCACAGAGCTCAATAGACTCCTCTGACAAACAAACAAAAACGGCAGGAAACTGTGCCGTCATAAAGAAGCCTGGTCCAAGTCCCAGGAGCCTGTTACGTCACGATGCCTAAAACAAGCTCCGGGAAAATCCAGAGCCAGGGCTGGACTCAGTCTGGAGACAGGATGAGTCTGAAGCACAAGCTGCTGATATGTGTCGTGTTCTATGGCGCAGAGATGGCGGCAACCTTCGATCATATCTACATTTTGCTGAGGTGAGAGTCTGTCTGTCTGTCTGTCTGTCTGTCTGTCTGTCTGTCTGTCTGTGTGTCTGTCTGTCTGTCTGTCTATCTGCCTGTCTGCCTGTCTGTCTGTCTCTCTGTCTGTCGGCCTGTCTGTCTGTCTGCCTGCCTGTCTGTCTGTCTGTCTGTCTGTCTGTCTGTCTTCAGTAGACGTTGTTCATATGTAAGAAAGGTTAACTGGAATTTGAGTGAACATGTGTAGCAGTGGAAAAGTACTGCCGTGTATGTGTGCACGAAATTCACACATAGATCTATCGTTGGTTTGACCCGGAAAGAGTTTTTAACTGATTGGAATTGTTCGCTTCGATCTACATTTTAAAAAATGTGATGAATTCCTGTACGAGGTTTGGGGTGCGTTAGATGTGACATAGTTTGTGTATTATTGTCCCCGTTATCTTTCTCTTCATATTGAAATTCTTTCATGAAAATAATATACGATGTATCAAATTATATTATATCTACTTGTATTTTTACCATTCCTGTAAACACACATCATTCTTCTTCTTTTTCTTCTTCTTTTTCTTTGTTTGTTTGTTTATTGTTTGTTTATTGTTTGTTTGTTTGTTTGTTGCACAGCTTACAATACACGAGCATCCCGGTTTATTTCTGTATATAATGTCTTTACCATTCCTGTAAAGCCACAGAAAAGTCCCAACGAGGACAATAAAATGGTTTCTTATCTCATCTTATTTGTCTGTTTGCTCGTTTGTTTTCCAGCTTACAATACATGGGTGTTCCGGTTTACCTGCTTTCTGTTTCGGCAACAACTTCCGGATTGTCTGCCCTTACTGTTGTCCCAATTATTGGACACCTGGTGGACAGCGGGAAAAATCCGAAAGTGAGAAAAACCACGTGACCCTTCTCGTTTATTCATACATTTTATTTTAATGTTGTTGCTTTTACGCCCCCATCGACACAATTTAAGAGGCGGGTTCCGACCCTGCCTTTCAGGAGCAACCCGGCCTGTCAGGAGCAACCCGGCCTGTCAGGAGCAACCCGGCCTGTCAGGAGCAACCCGGCCTGGCTGAGGGGGATATAACATTCCTGAAGAAGGACTGAAATATCCGAGAAAAAAAATAATTTTAAATTCCCGCTCGGGAATCGAACTCGGGCCTACTCGGTATGACAGCAAATCGTCGGACCGCTACATAACAGACACCTGCCCAAAGTTGAGATAACCACGTGACCATTGTTGTGGTGTGGGGTAGCTAAAAATAACCAAAGTTGAGATAATGATGATGATCATCAAGTACTCTTAGATCTGTGACATCATGGCAGACATCGGTGATCATGATTCGTCATTCATTCCTTTGCTTGGATGCTCTCAGAAAAAAAAACCTGTAATGTTATTATTATTCATTACCCTAATCTTTTCCGCCACCTATCTGTTCTGGCTCTAAAAGTAATTTGCTCTGTTAGTTGAGATTGTCATGTTCCCCATATTTGACTTTCCTGTTCCATGTTTTACTATCATTCATTAATGTTTCCCAATTACCCCTTTATATTTCCCAGTCATCCCTTTATAGGTTGCATTTCACAATCATTCCTTTACATTTCAAAACCTTACCTTTATGTTTTACAAGACCCTTTCATCTTTCGAAATTCCTCTCCATATTTGACAATCTTCCTAATATTTAAAAATCTTCCTCCATATTTCCCAATCCTCCTCCATATTTCCCAATCCTCTTCCTTGTTTCACATTCTTTCTCACATATAACAACCATCCTCCATTTTTCACAATCCTCCTCCTCCATATTAATTCACTGTCCTCCTCCAAATTTCACGATCTTCCTCCATTTTTCACAATCCTCGTCCTCCATATTAATTTCACTATCCTCCTCTAGATTTCAAAATCTCCCTCAATATTTCACTATCCTATTTCACAAATTCTCTTCCATGTTTCACAATACTTCTTCGTGCTCTACATCCCGCCCCGCCCCCTTGTCCCGTGCACAATCTTCCCTCCTGTGACGTTAGAGGCGTAAGCTGGTGGCCTATGCATGCTCCCTGGTCCTGTTCCTAACCGCCTACCTGCTTGTGGCCACCGCCGGCCTGGTCAAGCTACAGATGATGTCACAATGGTCACCCGATGACAACGGCTCCCAGCCCCAGCCTCGCCCCTCTCTCAGCCTCCAGCAGACGTCAACTGTCTCTACTACACTTGTCATAGAGGGAAACTACACCGGAACTTGGTCACAGGGGTCAGACAGTGGTCAGCTGGCGGGGCGGAAGGCGGGTGTCCCTGTTTACGTGGATGGTGTGGGGAACATTTCGAGCAGCGTCTTCCTCGAACAAGGCTCTTTCTCTAACAACTACACCAGAGGTCAAATCCGGGACTGGACCACGGGTGCAGTCGGAGTGGAGAACATTACGTCATGGCTGGGTCCCAACTCCTCCTCTTTCCCATCCCCGTCCCCCTCCTCCTCCTCCTCCTCCTCCTCCTCCCTCCCCAGCACAGCTTTCCTCGCCATGATCGGATTCGCCCTGATAGAGACAGCCTTTGACACCGGCTGCCCAGTGCTGAGAGCCTACCTCCTCGCTAACACGGACTCGGAATCGCACTCCCACCTTCTCATCATCGCCACCCTTATGGCGGCGGCAGGGGGCACGACTGTCTCGTGTCTAGGGGCGCTCGATATCTCGGCGTATCTCGGATCGCTATTCTCCCTGGACTCGACGGAAGCGACACTGCTGGTGTTTTGTGTGGCTCTCAGCACTATCTGCACGCTCGGGTATTTGTGCACGTTTCTCACAGCTCAATACCTCAATTCAAAGACTCGGGATTCGCCGACAGGACCGAATTTAGAAGGTCGCTTCTCAGACAGCCCTGAGCCACACACAGACATAGGCGTTACGGGAGAGAAGGAATATGATCCAAAGTTAAGTCTCCTCCTGGCTGAAGCAGACACTAATAGTTCCCCACCCTCCGAGGATTGTGACGACAAGACGTTACTGATCGCAACACAGAGGAAACCCACCTCTTACGTTTCTATCGGAAACGGACATTCTATTGGAAACGGAGTTTCAACCCTGGAATCCCTCCCACAAACCATAGACACTGAAAAGTGCATGAATTCACCAAAACGGTGTACCACAACTCCCTCAAATGGGCACTGCGCACGTGCTGAATATCTTCTAAATGACTCACAAGAAAACTCTGCACATACAGACAAAGAACGACAAATATCCCCACATGCTGCAAGTTGCGATACCAACTCTCCCTCTCGGGGTACTTACAGTTTCTGCAGTAAACGTCTTGTCATCCTGTTCGTGTCTTGTTTTTTCACGTACACCGCCAACCTAACCTTCGTGGTCTACAACCCTAACGCTCTCACTGTCGGTGTGTTCGGCGGCGACCCGGGTTCCAATCCCGGCACGGACGCTTACCACAATTACCTGAAAGGCCAGAGGAGGTCGGCCATGGGCAGTTTTGTCATGTATCTGGGTTATCTGTCCTTTTCTGCACTCAATCGAAAACTCCTGCAGATCATGGGTACCTCAGTTGCATACGTTAGCTTGTGTACTTGATTACATACGCAATGTTAATTGATAGATATGTAAAATAATCTACTTGGTCACATACGTAATCTGTCTAATTGACAGATATAATGTAAACTGATCTACTTATTGGTTACACACGTTGTCGGTGTAGTTGGCAGATATGTAAACCAATCTAGTTAATCACAAAATCTGTCTCATTGATAAATCGCAAAAAACTAGTTGATTCATCAGTTTAGTTTTAGTTTTAGTTAGTCTTTTAGGGCACCTGCAACACAAATAGGAAATAATAATGCCGAAGATTAGAGATGTTATTAGACAGTAAAATATACTTTAAAAATATATTTCTCTTTTACACACAACACACTACAAGGTATCTCCTTCTGTTGACACACTACGCTCTATCCTCTTCTGTTGACACACCATACACGACATTCTTCTGTTGACACACAACACACTATATGGTATCTTCTTCTGTAGACACACTACACACTATATGGCATCTTCTTCAGTTGACACACTGTACAGTATCTTCCTTTGTTGACACACTACACATTGCACTGTATCTTTTTCTGTTGACACACTACACACTGCATAGTATCCTCTTCTGTGGACGCACTACACACTGTACACCACATTCTTCTGTTGGCATATTACACACTACATGGCATCTCCTTCTGTTGACATACTGCACACTACACAGTATCTCCCTTTGTTGACACACTACACAGCACACAGTATCCTCTTCTGTTGACAAACAGCACACTATACAGTATCCCAAGAGTGGTTGGCGGGTGCTGTGTTGTGGTTTGATGCTTCTTTCCAATCAAACATCTAGTGTCCTTATCTCTTCTTTTTCTTTTCGTGTTACACTTTAGTAAAACCTCTATTCTTCGACGCTCATATGACTTAAACTTGTTAAACGTGCCGTAAAACTCTTACTAAACTAAACAAAAAGAAGACAATAATGGAACTTGCCATCTAGTAAAACCTGTAATCTTCAACAATAGACTAACCTAATTGTGTAACAGTGTTGCTAGTGCCGTACAACTCTGACAAAAATAAACACTTTCAAACTTATTTTACTGAACCTTCTTCTCTTAGCTTGGTCCCACGTTGTGTCCTTGTATAAGGCGCCTTGCACGAATTTCCCATTTGGCCCAGTTCTTTCGGGGATGGACGTTAAATTCTGAGGTCAAGCCTCTTAAATAACCAAATAGATAAGATAAGATAATATAATAAAAATTAGATAAGACGAAATGCTTTATTGTCCCATTGGGACATCTTTCTTGGCTGTACAGGAGTGGAAGAAACACATTTAGATGTACATAGGATTTAAAGTATAATATTATGTTACTTTCATTAACATTCAGTATGCAAAGAAAAATAAAGCTGACAACATTACACATAATATCATTATGAAGGGGCGTTAAACTTCCTATGGAGACTCTCGTAGCCTAGAGGTTGAGGTGTTCGTCTCTCATTCAAAAGGTCCCGTGTTCGAACCCGGGACGATAAAAAGTTCTTTTCTCAAATGTTCTCCTTTCACACCCTTTCCAGCTCTCTAGCAAAGTCTTGTGGTCTGCTTTTCGTCTCCACTTTCTTCCCCCATCCCCTCACATCTTTGCCTCCTCCTCTGGGCTCCTGACTCTTTCCGCAGCCTTTCTACTGATACTCCATGTCTTCTTCTCACTGCTGTCTTTCAGTCACACCCCTTATCTTATGGAAGGTAAAATCTACAACTAGCCTTCTCGGATAAGGGCTAAAAATCCCGGAGGTCCTGTGTGCAAGTTGCGCACGTTAAAGATCCCTTGGTAGTCCAAAATCGATAAGAGGTGGCTTCGGTGTTCACCCGGGCAAAATTCAAAATTTGTTACCAAATGAAAATGTTTAATAATGTGTCCCGCGCGCTCATGTGACCTTATGCAGTAGCGAGCGCCATAAAACACTACCAACCCCCCTCCCCCCCTTCCTTTCTATTTCACCATTTTTCAACTTTTTCTTTTGCCAGGTGAGCGCGCGTTCTTTCTCGCGACACACGCTGCCATGGTTGTCGCGAATTTCATCTTCATGTACTGTCAGAACGAGGTGTCCTACTTCGTTGCCATGGTTACATTCGGCGCTTTCCGCACCTGTGTGTTTACCCTGCCCTACATACTGGCCAACAGATACGTGCATGTAAGCACTACGAGGTGTATTGTTGGTCGTTGGAGGTCCTTTAGACATCTCTGTCGTCGTCATCTCTCCTCCTTTTTGTGTTTGTTACTTTCTTGTTACACCTCTGATCTTCGGCACTTAAGTGACCCTCATTAATTTTTCGTAAATATTTCACTTCGGGTAGTTAGAGAGCTATTTCTTTACGCTCCCTCCGTTGTTTCTGTTCGTCTGTCTGTCTTGCTTTTTCCCATTAGTGTGTCGATATGCTCCTCTTTACTCAAATAAACAAACAAATAAATCCTTTACAAAACAAAAAAAATAGAAAGTAACGGAAATTGCCATCGTATGACGAAATCATTGACTTCAGTAAGAAAATCTTTTCAGCTACTTTCCACGTCACAGGTTCCTTTACATTTTTTTTAATCATCTGTCGTACCCACAGCTATTGGTCTTTAATTAATAGCATCATTATTAATTCCCTAAATGTCTTTGAATTGTTTATGTGGAAGTCAGGGCAAACGCTCAAGGATCTCCGTTAGCTCATTTGATGTACTTCTAGACTACGGAGTGGATGGCCTTGGTTCGAATCCCTGACTGTGCGTTTTCTCCAACTTGGATTGCTTTTTGGAGTTTTTAAGCCTTTCAATCCATTAAGCTCGGTCCTAAAAGAGACTGATGTCGAATTCGGAGGTCCTGCTCCTCTAATAGTGAATAGTGTTAATAGGTGATAAGCCTCTCTTTCTCTCTCTCTCTCTGTCTCTCTGTCTCTCTCTCTCTCTCTCTCTCTCTCTCTCTCTCTCTCTCTCTCTCTCTCTCTCCCCCCTTCCCTTTCTCTCCCCCTCCCTCCATTGGCGTCGGTAGTGTCCTGCATCTTAAATAACCTAATAGTGATAATAAGGGGCATTAAACCATAAACTGTTTTCCCTTTCTCTCACAGGAAGAGGTGTGCCAAACATCAGGCAATGGACCACCTTCGGACAAGTCAAGCCACGCCGGCCGCGCCATGTCTCTGATGGGTACCTTGTTACCCCTGTCCAGCATCACAGTCACCAGCCTGATGGGCCCGCTCATGCACCAGACAGGCAGTGTGTGGGTCCCCATCATAACCAGCTGCGGCGCCTGCTCTCTCTCCATGCTCTTCTTCTCCTTGCTACTGTGCCTCTAGCCAGAGATGGACGTTAAACTAGGAGGTCCCGCCTCTTAATTAACCTAATAGTGCTGACAGAGGCGTTAAACCCATACCAAAGCCTCTAGCCATATGTGTAGCCATTCGTGTAGCTACTGGTGTAGCCATGCAGATGTTCATGTGAGTAGCAAGTCTAGGAACAATGTATGGAGTCATGCAGAGCTATTTATTTTGTAGCAAGTCGGGTTAAGTTACCTTGTGTGCAGGCATTCAGATAGTCATTGTGTTTAGCAAGTCGAGAAGCTATGACTGTGTGCAGCCATGTAGGTAGCTATTTTTGGTAGCATTTCGAGATATATAGCCATGTTTGTAGGCATGCAGAAATCAGTTTGATCTGTGAAGCTATGAAGATAGCCGTTTTTGTGTTGCAAATCGAGTAAACATGAGTATAGCCATGCAGATGGGTCCACTCGATCTCAATGCGTCGTCGACTTTGCTTGAAGTACTCGTACGTTCCTCGATCTCAGCGCGTTGGGGAGGCATCCATTGTTAAAGCAAAAAATGGATGAGTTGCTGGGAGGTATCAAATTCATTAGTGATCATAAAAGTTCAAAGCACAAGGGAAAATATTCGGAAATATAGCTTAATTTTAGGCAAATATCTAACAATTTGTTATGATTCAACTTTTCCTTATAAAATACATTTTAATGTTCGATACCATTTGCTGATGCACATGAAATAAACTTTTAAAAAATCGCCAACACAATGAGGTCAAGCTGCGTGGCTGCGGAAATCAGATATAACCGCTGTTAGATCGAGTGCAGAGAACAGATGCATATATAGCCGTGAGTGTAGCAAGTCGAGATACCATGTATGTACCATGCTTTTATCATCCTTGCTCTTCTGTCTCTGGTCATACGTGTAGCCATGAGTGTAGTTATCTGTGAAGCCAAGTGTGTAGCCGTCTCTATGTCGCAGGCCATGTGTGTATAGTCTTGTGTGTGGCCAAATCGCTACCCTAGAATAATAAAGTTCTGGTTTAAAAGAAATTTGACCTTAAGAATTTGGAGTTTCTTAACATGTCAAGCTTTATGGAATGCAATTCTTTGAATATCTTGATAACGATTCCGAACATTCTTACTATTTGATAGAAGAGATGCAATGTTAAGTTTCTGTACACATCACCTTAGTAACTGGAAAAAAATGCCAGATAGAACTTTGTAATTCTAAGGAAGCGATGTGTGAGTGTAGCCTTGTCTATAGTCCTGCAGGTTACCAAGTGGTAGCTTTGTGTACAGTCATGTAAATAGCCAAGAGTACGACCACGTACGGCTCATGTGTAGCCCTGTGAGTAGCCATGTTGTCAGCTTTGTAACCTTGCACGCAGCTATGCTTAATGCTTATCTTCTCTCTACTCTTGTCACTGGCCATGTATATAACCTGTATGCTTATTGTAACGTATGATGATTTGACACAACCCACCCTTTCACTGCTTGATGATGATTTGTTGTTGTTTTCTTCCAAAAATAAAGTTTTCATTTGTTTTCTCTTTTTAATGTCTAATGTTGGTTTACTGCCTGCGAGGTAACGGGTTCCATTTTTTCCTATCCCAAAGTTATTTTACACACACACACACACACACA